CATTTGCATTGAGCAACATTCTCTGCAGTCAAAGGTAGCTTTTTTAAACGATTTGATTCAGGGATTACCCCGGCTAGATGCGGTGTGGTACAATCTCCACCTCCTACATATTCAAGAAAATGCTGACGTAATACAAGTTCGACTGCTGTTGAACACGCATTCATACCGTGGTTCACAGACCACTTACATCCGTCCACTTCATTTGCTTTTCGATGCCACTATGACTCTATGGTACGAACTCACCCCACGTTGCGATACAGAATCTGGTTGTTTGAAATGAAAGCGTTTCACCACTAACGATGCTCCTAGAATGCGACCGCAGACCAATCCGATCTACTCACCTATTCGGTTGTATTGTTTCGTAAAACAAACAAAGCAGGCGATTGCGTACACATACCTGGTTAGGATATTTAGGTCCGTTGTGAACCCTTTCGGCAACTACCACAACAGCCGTGTGAGGTTGTGCAAAATCTGTCCTAGTAAGGGGCTAAAACAATGACCTGGCTTGAAATCGCATGTGGCGTGACTCGAAAATATATACGCTCGATAAGGCAGAGAGAAAAACACTGAGATGATGTGGATGGGATCAAAAACACAACGCTAGGTACCATAGGTGAGCCAAGTGACCGAATTGTTCATCTGCGATATCTAGTGTGTAAATGGCAAGATCAAAAAGAAGCGTGTGCAGGTGGCTTGGTTCTAAGAACTCCTGAAAATAGGATGGGAAAATCAAGCTCCTTGGTTCTCTGCACACATAAGCTGACAGTCAAACTTCCGTAGGTCAACAGTAATATCTCATATGGGTGTTCCCTTTAGCACGTCCCAAAAGATCGGGCTACACATCATTATAATTCCATGTGTCACACTAGTTCTTGAAAAATCATTCTGGCGAAGCTGCATAGCGACGCATTTTGAACATACAGCTTACAGAAGACATATTGTTTTCCTCTCAAAGAGGGAACATCATCAGGATCGGGCAACACGTACGTTTTAATCTTTCGCGGAAAAGGGGGACATTCAGGGCTCTAGGTACAGTGCTTCAGGAGCGCCGTTGGCTTTCTGAAGCGATAGGATTTTCGGAAGCCTGTAAATCATACCAGTTTCTAGGAGCAAGACATCCTGGTTGTTATGTCGCCTATATCACGCACTAAAGCGATCATCGGGACGTGTTCGTCGGGTTTCAGTATTCCAATGATACCGCGTGTAGTTCTGCGTGGAACTTCGTTCCACGAGGTGCAACCATTACAGGAAGGCTAAAGAGGAGCATTCAGACGAAGTGTGGAGAGGACTCATACCATGAGTTATCCTGCAGCAAGCCGGCCTGGGGGTAAAGCTGTACTGTCCTCTACGTTAGGAGTGTGAAGGCAGTAAGGTTTTCCCCCAGGCGACCAGCATGTCCGCATACACAGAGGCAGCAATGCTGCATTTCTTTGAGGAAGGGGGCGTTGAAAAACGTCGACTCTAAAAATCGCACTCTAAGATCGTCCTAAGGTTAACCGTGACTGCAGGCGGATTATTCAATACGGTCGAATTACTTTTAAAACCAAAGAAACCAGTGCTACTCAAAAGGCACCAGTTGTGCGTAGCCGTATAAATAGTGAGGCAAAGATGCCTTATTCTTTGCGCTCTCGGAGAAAGCCAACCTCCCGCGGTCCAGCAAGAAACACTAGGGAGACACAAGCTACAGGAAGGGTCACACAAAACCCTGACGCCTGCTGCATCGCGGATCAGACGTTTAAGTCAGAGGTTCCTCGAACAAAACCCCAAATCCTCCGACTGCCTTGTGGGTCAGAATTCTGAGCCCGCACAGTTCTTTGTACACCGATGACCCTATCGTACTCCTTCCCAGCATAAATCAAGCTGAGAAACTTGATTGTCAGTTATGCGACCCATGGGTCTTATGCTCCCTGGTGCCTACTAACAATAAACAAAATAACACCTTGTTAAATCCACGAGATTATTTCTACACAGGACCTTTTATGTCTGCACCCTGTCTCCATTTGGCAGACAGGCAATGCTCCCTGAAAACTTAAACTCCCTTGAAACTGATGTACGCTGTCTCCGAAATATGCATACAAGACCCAAGCATGGTTAGGCATCTCAAAACGCCAAGGACGTAAACACTTTCATATTTCTCCCTCCGATGTGTCCTGGCTGCCACCAACTGCAGCTGTGGACCCAGTTGGGTCACGTAGCCATCAGCCACCTGTGGGGAGCCACAACCCAGGACTGCCATTCATTCTGGGGCATACGACTTGATTCTGATCAACCCACGGTGCGTGCACACCCGACAGTTCGTTTGCCTTCAGACCTTCGCAAGTCAGCAAGAAGCATCCAACCCCACTATACTCGAACAACTACCATAGCTGAACATTATCGATCTAAGCTAGCCCAACAACTATCCACAGTAAACCAATACTGTGGTGGAGCACGTGGACGAAGCGCGGCAAAATGTGGAAGGAGTTATGTTAGCGGCGTTCAACAACAACGGACGTTCAACATTCAACAAGACCGCTGAATGTCGTCGAGATCGCTCTCCATGGTTGGTGCCAGGAAAGCCAGACCAGCAGGCAACGAGCATGACGGTGCAGGCGAATCCCTCAAACGTCAAATACTGAACAGTCTAGGAGAGACCAAGAGCTCCGGGAGATGGAGAAGGCGTTTGCTACGGAAAACAGCCGTAACCTATATCAACCGATACGGTCGATTGATCCTCGGGAAACAACGGTCAGTGAAACGGCATGCGAAAAAGGAGTCTACTAAATCCACTCGCAGAAACGTCGACTGGAAAGATGTACCGAGCACTTAAAACAGTCTAGCTGGCCTCCTGCAACACAGCTTCTGCAGATAGAGCATGCAGGCGAATGAAATGCAAACCTTAGTCGCCCATCGGAAGAAGAGATAAAGCGGAGAGTCCCCGATGACCCATCTCACAAAGCCCATAGTGAAGAAAAAGTGCCCGCATAATGGGGCATGTCGACAGCTATCTCCGAAAAGGGAATGCGAACGGTGCGCGAAAACCACCATGGCATCAACCTGGTAGCTGTTGTACCGAAGCTGCTCGATGGCTTTGTCCTTCGAAAGTTGATGGAAAACAGGGAGAGACAAATCCGTGAAAACTAAGCTGGGTCACGTCCTTCAGGGGGATACAGATTCCGACATATTCTGGAACAGCAACACTGCTACCAATCACAAACAATGGTTGTCTTTCTTGACTTTAAGACTACCTGCGATTCTGTGAAACGCCAGACATTTTGGCATTGTCTGTGGCGCAACGGTGTCTCGAACTAATTCTTGACCCTGCTTAAGGAGCTGTACGCAAATTCCAGTAAACGTGTCAAGGTACAGGGGAAACCCTCGCTGGAGTTCACCACATTAAGTGGAATCAGGTAAGGCTATCCTATTTCATCCATCTTCTTGAACCACGTCATTGATTAGGAATGACACACTACCAGCCTATAGTACCCGTGGGGTCCAAGCGCTCCCGAGGCATTCAACCGCGGATGTCCAGTACGCTGACGACATAGCTCCGCTTCGATCTGGCGCATTCGTAATCCAAAAAATACTCAATAATCTAAACAATTCCGCCCCACAGTTTGGCATGCGATTCACAGCTACAAAGTGTAGAGGGCTACTGCAAGATTGAGTGACCTCGAACCTTAACGTCACGCTTGTAGACGATCCGATTGAGGAAGCAGATAACTTTGTCTACTTGAGCAGATGTATCAGTGCCGGTGGTCTCGCGAAGGATGATATTCCCATCCGGATTGGGAAGGCCAGAGCAGCCATCATAGACCTACATCACCTGTGGCGCAGGTCTGACGTCAGTCTATCTATCAAGGATCGAGTTTACACCAATGCGGTGCGTTCCATACTATTATGCGGATCAGAATTCTGGGCGCTGCAAGCTAAGGACGTCAAAACATCTTTGAATGATGGGACCATCGACGTCCTTCTAGCATTGCCCGAGTCCGGTGGGAACACAGAATCAATACTGCTGAAATATGTCGGATGGTTTCCGGAAGAAATAATGCGCCCACGATAGATGGACTGATCATACTCCACAAGTTGCGCTGGCTTGCTCAAGTACCCCATACACCAGTCGAGCGAGTTCCTCGGAGGGCTAATTCCGCACAACCAAGCGAAGGGTAGGAGCGAGTCAGAGGTGGGCAACAATTGCTTGGCAGCGAAGCATGAAGGTCATTACCAGCGAACTCAGCTGCGCTGGTCAGTGCTCTATGCCTGAATAAGGAACCCGAAACGGGGCACACTAATCGTTACAGACATTTCCAGACATGGTCTAGTCATGCCCACAATAACGCTCGTGCGTCCAGTCACTTCAATGTGCACCTCTCCACCCAATCTCTCCAATTAAAAGTGCACTGAAAATCCTGTATTCACGCAGCAATTGTATCGGCTACCGTCTCCACTACACATCAACCTACCATATCTTCCCAAATCATCGGTGAACGAAAATGTGGCAGCCAGAACCACTGTACAGCAAGTACGCGGTTGTTACAACTGATGATGGCACCTATACGTACAGCAAACGAATACATGTAAGTTTGTGGGTGGCATATCAAACTATACCTAGTGAAATTATGCATACTGTTGAGTTTGATGAGATGCGTTTCATACGAACCGCTTTACTTATCACTTAAATGGTACTGTTGCTCCATTTACTACTATTCAACGCTTACTTTAGTATACACAGAATCGATGGACTGATACAAACATACCACACCCGCCATAATCGCATGTGGTGATTTTTCACGCATCAAGTGAAACAACGCGTCCGCCGCGGAGTCACCCGCAGGGTATTTCTATTTAGGCAAATAATTTTGAAATACCTCCCCTCGAACACGTTCTGGTAGTCGGATAGTCATTGGTTTATACAGGAATCCGATCAAAAAGTGACTCAGTTAAGTAGTGCTAGGTACCTCCATGCACCTTGAGAACTACTGGGCAATGAAAAAACGTCTCTTTGAGATCAATCTGTGCAAGAATATACATATTGGAACAAGCTATATCACAATTTCAAGGAAAGAACAGCGGGGACATTCTAAACAGAGAAGTGATACACTGTCCGAATTGAGAGACTCTCCAAAAACGCTAGTCTTCTGTTCCATGAGTGAACCACGAAGTGGCTGCGAGCATCCACTGTGTACATGCATGGTCTCAGCTTCACGTATACTTCGTCCGATAGATGCCAAACTGATACTGTCCGTCTGAGTGAAATAATAAATGCAAATTCATGTATGGGATTTTGGAATGAGAGAAAAGTATAGAGGCCGGAAGAAAAACAAGAAGCAGCTCCTCAAATCTTCGGGTCATGAATAAAACGTCAGTTCTATCGGATCTTGGCCATTGAACTGGTAATCAACAGTAGTTATATCGGTCTCCATTAGGGACTCAGACTGGGCTATTAGACTCTGTATGTGTATAAGGCTGCACTGTGACCCGTTAGATCTTTGAAGCCAAATCACCTTTTCGGGTGTGATAGTCTCAGAAAAGCAAAGAAACACGCATATTGATCATCAATCATACTGCAAGACATAAGCGTGCAAGGTCGACCTTTAGCAAATTATCCAACTAGGAACGTTGGCATCCAAAGCGAAGGAAAAAGGTTGAAGTTCGATTGATGATTTGCTAAATGTGACAATGAAGGTGGCAGAGGAACCGTCCCGCCCCCAACAGATAAAACCTTGTCCTTTTGGGAGTGAGTTGACATGTGAACTAGGCTGCGACTGACAAACCATTGTTCAGCTGTAGCGCCCTTTCGGTGACTGATTGTCATACCATCAGAATGAAGCGCGAGTGCCGGGATACTGCCCAAGCCTAGACAGGAGAGTCGAAAGGCAGAGGGGTCGGGTTCAAACCGTGAACTTTCCGGCCAGTAAATTCGCGCTCTAACCACTGAGCTACCTCAATCACGAATAACGCTATTGTCAACCCTCCAAAAAGGTGGTCTTTGTCCGAGCTATCTACTTTCTGAAGTGATAGAGAAGAGGTTTAAAATGTTAAGCTGCTGAATATAAGGACATACGTTATTCGTGACCAAAATGCTGAAGTGCGCAAGACAAGATCATAGAGGCAAGAAGGGCATTAGTTGAAGACAAACGTTAACAAGTACGTACAAGCTATATGGATCGGTTGAATCCAAGTGAAATGCATCTCTTTAAGTAAACACGACATTTTGAAGCCGACAAGCTCACCTGGGTGTCCAGACGAAGTCCACAAGAACAGCATAGAACAGTTCCGTATAGTACAAGCTTCCCTCTGAAACAAGCATTACTACACATTATGCTAGTAGGAAAACACGTCCTCAACGTTTATCACAACAGGGCCTAGAGAATATCAGTAAGCCACCAATCAACCAAGTACCATCACTTACATGCTGCATAAAGGACAGGTAATTTCATCGATTTCCATCCCAGAGGAAGAACCAGTAATGCAGGAAATATCTGATGCAGAGTAAGAAACAGCGGAAGTATGGTAAATACGTTAAAATATGCGAGAAACTCAGCCATACAATAAGCGATGCGGGGTGCATGAATTTGACAGTGAAGAGAAGCAGGCATTTAAAAGCTGCTATTGGTCACGAAAAGCTACATAGGACCCTAAGAAAAACTTCGTACACACCAAGCGACCAAACTAAATAAGAAATCCGTCAACTTTCTCTAACGAGAAGTGTGCATTCATCGGCAGTTTCCGAAAAATTACTCGCAATGTTTGGGAAACGGTGTCGATCAACCCAAACTTTTATCAAAAGGCGAACAGATGAGAGTAATACTAGTCGTACTTTTGAAGCAGTGCAACAACTGTCCATAGGGGAACCGATCCAAATAACCAAACGCTAGATTGATTGTATGGATGTGTCGTGAGCTAGCTATGGACCGAACGAGGATATGACCTAATTGATCACGTGGTTCAACCAGGATCGAGCATCCCTAGGTAGGTAGGTACCACGAAGATTCTAGTTTGACCTTGTGAAAAATTCAGAGATAACCTTAAGAGTACAATGGCAACAATTTTAACTTGTCTCCGTTTGGAAATGCTTCAAGCTACCGTGCATCATGATACACATTAGTGGGCAAAACGGTAAGCCAAGCACCAAAACAAGAGTTATAAGGTCGTTTGAAAGCCAAAACAGTGACCTTTATTTTTTACGGCGTATCGAAGGTTGTGACAGGTTCCGAAACTCTGTTGTTTTGAGCAGAACAGCTACGTCACCACACTTCCTGAGAGCCTTATTCAATCTCCCTAGTAGTACTTCCTGTTCATTCGCTTACGTTTATCATGTATCGACATCAAGATGGTCTACTACCCAAGGAAGCACAGCTTTATTTACCGTAACGAATAAATCGATCGATCAGTCTGTCTCGAATGAGTCTATGGAATAACCATCTAATCTGAAAGAGCCAACGCGTCCGACTTGCATTTTAGTGATACTATATCAAAGAAAGCACAACCGAAGGGAGATTCCGGAAGCTAATCTCGTACGCGCTCTTTTGACGCGTTTCCGGTGAAAACTGTGAGAATGAGGAACCATCCTGGGTAGACCTGCATGAGTCTGTCGGACTTGAATCCTCTTAAGTATTGTAAAATTTCCATACAACTCCGTGTGGCATAGGAATCGCTTGTTAGTGTGTACCACGTGCGACCACCAAATCAATCGCGGCATGATAACGATCATTCGTACTTACATTTACAACGATGATTCCATTTTGGGAGGATGCTTAACAATGCGAGAAGTTAGCTTGAAACCGAAGGCTTTATGATCCGCGTGGTGAACGCCTACGGTCTTTCTGGTTGCACTCGCATATAGCCCCGGACCACATAAGTGCTTGTTTAGTGCGATCGACTGGTGTGCATTAGTGAGTCATCGACAAAGACTCCACGATGAGGGATATAACCGTTGTGGGAGAAGTTACAAGCCTTGAGGGAGTTTCCGTGGGGTTCAACAGAAACAGCGGCGATACAAGATATGCATGGTCACTTATTTGGAGGATGCGCGCCCGAAATCCCTCGAAAGACATGGAGCGCCCAAAAGTAAATTGTGACATAGAAATGTAGAACTTCTTGGAATCTTTTTGAAATCGCTAGAGCGACCTTAATTATTACGGTTTCAATGGAATCGCCTGTATGACACACGTTTCAATTCCCGCTATGCAACTCAAATGGCCGCCGGATTCCCCGAGGACGTTCATGCTTGTAAGTTCCACGTTATTTTTACAATAACCCGGGTGGCTTTCCTGAAAGGAAATTATGTTTCATACTTTGATCATGAAATTTCTACCTTATCCACGGCAATCTTGAGTTTTCTCTGCTCCGCATGTGAAAAGAACCTCATTAATTGAACTGGTACATGTGAACTAGACTTTTGGTGTTTGCTTCCTATTTTGGGGGGGACCGCAAGCATTTATGCCATACGATTGAAATAACCACTGCGATTTGGAATGCACGAAGGGATGAATAACCTCTTGCTGCACTTTGATGGCTCGGAAATCAACTAGATCAATTATGGTGGTGACCTGGTTATCGCGTCTCAAAAGTTTCTAGGACTGTTATGCATCTAATGTTATCCGGCGGGATATTTATGAGCTACTTACGACAATTCAGTAGCTGAATGAGTGAATCGGTTTGAATTAGAAGCGGTATTTGGCGATATCGCATCGATATGTGGCGAGGATGTTTGCGTGTTAGTGAAACTATTCAAACAGTACCAACTAAATATCGCCCTTTTTTTGTCGTTGTTCAGCTTAGAAAACCCAGATTAGGTACGTTCGCTGATTACACGTCCATACTGCTCATCCCGCCCATACAATCGCAGGAAAGCGAGCTTACGGAAATTTTCACTGAAGATGATGCTGGTGACGAGCGTGATGTATTACAGCATACGGTGACACCGAATTTCACGTGTTCCTTTATTGTAATACAATTTTACTTCAAACATTCTGTTGATCCTCTGATCGTGCTATTACTCTGGGCGCACTGAAAATCGAACGACTTAGCAAGAAAAACAGAAAGTACACTTACCCCCAAATTACAGCGAAATGTATATATTTTAAGATACTAGAGACAACAAAAGTTTGCGATCTGTCTTGTTTTCGAGCTGTCGCACGCTGAAGAAAGTTGATTCTAATAACAACCGACTATATCATTAATATGGTGTGCTGGTATCCGTTTTCACATCGAACTGCACCAAAGGACCTTGTGCGCTTCGGCTAGCATCAAATGCGGTTTGCATTGAGTCACATAGATAGCCACCTGAGCGCACTGTTCTTACGGGAATACGACCGTATGGCTAAGAGTTGTACATAGGTATATGAAAAAAGTGCAAAAACGTCACCGCAAAATTGAACGAACCATTGTCCCATGATGACCCGAAGGAAGCCTTCAGAAATAAACTCCATTAAGGAACGAATCGCCAACTTCGGAACATTAACCAACTGGACCTCCATTTCGGCCAATTAACAAATACAAACTCTGGTAGATGATCAACTTGGGCTTAAGGTGAAAGGTCATTACACTTGTAAGGTGAACAAAGTACCGAAACACCCTCGACACATGGAGTAACTGAGACAGGCACGTCAACACTGGATTTTCAGCTTGTGTTGTGAATCAATGGGTACCTGCATGGTGATCAAAGTGCAAGCGCAAGTAGCTCAGCGTGGATAGTTTTCCGTGTGAAAGGGACGGAACGGGAGGGGTAAGCGTTGAGCTGTCGCCATGTAAAAACTACACTAGAGAGTAAACCTCCAATTATTACACAATGCGGTGTAAGGAAGTTGCTACATTACCTGAGAATAATTGCTGTGCGATATGCGAAAGATACTAACGAGCGAATTGGCCGTAATGGGGTGCGTAAATATGGTTACTCCAACTTATCAGTAAGCAATGAATACTACTGACATGCGTAATTGCGATACACAAGGACTTAAGTGTGCTTGATGTATCCCACGGTTGGCTGTACATGGATTCGGGTGGAGGATTGCGATAGGCGTGAAGAAACCCCAGTTACTACATTTGGGGGGTAAACTGGACAGCTGGGTAGAGTAAATACTTCGGCTGGGCGGTATTATTAGCTGTGCAGACCATACGACAGGCTGAACCTAAACAAACCAAACCAAACACCCTGAAACAAAAAATAAAGTCCTTGCCACCAATGATAGGGATACTGAGCGAAGAAATCTACACACGAAACCGCATTCGAGTAATGGGCTTAAAACGGAATACATAGATAAGCAAAGTGCTCTGAACCTTAATTTTCAACAAAGTCCAACTCACCATTCTCAAACTCTAGTAGCACTTGATCTTGTAGATGTAAGAGTGTTTCCAAATCCAAGTGTTCTTTCTGGAAAAAAAAACACGGAAACATTTTGCCAAAAATAAGGTCACATCAAATCTTGTTTGTAAGAAAGCGTGCAGCATGGCTTATGCGAGGGAAGTAGGCTGGGCGAACGCAGACCTGATGGTTAGTGTGCATGAATTCCCGAAACTTTCTCCGCGGAACCTTATCACCTGGTAACGCAGAAACATTTTCCAAAAATAAGGTCACATCAAATCTTGTTTGTAAGAAAGCGTGCAGCATGGCTTATGCGAGGGAAGTAGGCTGGGCGAACGCAGACCTGATGGTTAGTGTGCATGAATTCCCGAAACTTTCTCCGCGGAACCTTATCACCTGGTAACGCAAGCAACAGATCGATTGCCTTAGATTGGCAGCAGTGATGTGGGGTATAGTCCGAGATAGCGGAGAGAATAAGATACCAGGTTACCGACCCGAAGGTTCATGGTTCGCACCCGACCTCACCATCCCGACTGAACTTATCTAGCCTTCGGCAACATGGCAGTATCCCAGCCCTCCTACTCCCTTTGGGTGGCATGGCGGCTAGACACCGAAAACGTGTTACAGCTGAACGATTAAAGAGAAGAGTAGACGAGAAATAAACCCCATCGAAAATCAAACTGCTGATGGCATTGTGTATTAAACAGTCTTCAGAAAATATATAATTGCGAACAAAGTGTTCCTTGTAGCTAAGAAATATTGTTCAAATTCCTTCAGAAATGCTTAAACTACCGGTGATTTCCAACGTATGAAAGTGATTTATTTTTCAAAGCTACCTACGAAGTTAGAAAGGAGAATCTGCTGCGTTGATAAACGTAGGGCATCGCGGTTGTTACGCTCCAGGAAAGACCGTACGAAGTACAGGTTCCTAGAAAAGTGCACAAGAATGAGTTCACTTGATTCAGCTATGGATTGTGAACTGTCCGTGGAAAGCTAGCAGACAACGAATACCTCGAAGTGCATGTTCGAAGGTAATTTCAATGACACACACTGTATGCCACCACGTCAGTACAGTGACACAGAAGCGATAAGAGGTCTACTGTAGCCATTCATCATCAGCAAATTTGAACCAAAACACCTCATCGTGTCAGTAGATTGAAGTTGGAAACACGCCATGACAAGGTACGGGAAGGAATTCTGTCACAAACCTCTGAATCATCTAGCAGACTGTAAAGTAAGTGTCGACGTTCCTCCATAAGCTGATGACACCCGTCTGTCGTCGAGTCCAGAGGGTTTCTCGAGGATGTTGTGGAGGAATGGATACGACGAAGTCGGTCAATAAATTCTCGTCGGCGTGATTTCAAGGCACTGCCAACTCTCTGGTGAGCGAATAATAAAAATGAAAAATAAGACTAAACATGGTGTTGTCAACGGTGGCACAAAACACTGAAAGGTGGATACAGAATAACCTAAACCAGAATACAAGAGGAAACAATGTACAGCTATTCTTGTCAAATACGTGATCTGCATCGTACGATGATAAACAAAGTTTGACGTAGTATAGTGCTCATAAGGCTGCTGCAGACTCTTCGACAACCCATTGTCGTCCGAAACATTAAGCATCCTTTGTGCAGCATATTCATTTAAGGATTACCAAAAAGAGATTCATCTGAGTCTCCCAGCTCAAACGTGTACAATTAGACAGAGTTTGACTTCTATCTCATCTCCGCAAGGAACTAGCCACCCAGAAAGCAGATGATGACTAAATTGAGCTTTCGGGAAGCGGTAGCGCTGAGAATGCTCAAGCTGTCTACAACACTAAACAGTGTGTCATGTTTAATTGAGAAGATTAAACAATCCAACAGGCTGAGCTACATTCCGCAGCGATCGTTCACAATCGAACACTGACTTCAGAATGAAGTAAGCACTGAAGATAACGTATGGCATGTCACTCTCGTAAATCTACGCTAATATAGAGCCAAGAAACTGAGATGAAGCGGCTGTGTACGGCAACTGTTGCAACACAGGAGCGACCACATCATCACATTTGATCGAAATCAATTTCCAGCAAAACTTATTAACGCAAAACCATTGCATGCTTCCAGGGAAAGTTTCTCAACTTTTCTCTTCCGGATTCCTCTGAACCCACACGACGACAAAATCTACTGGAGTGAGTAAACAGATTTTTGCGTGCGGCCGAGCGAAGCTAAGCTAAGCGAATGGCCCATTTCTCAGCATGGACCAGAGGTGGAACCTACAGGCTTCACCTAGAACAAAGTTCGGCAATGAGTACGATTAGAGGATAACGCGAGTAATATGGAACTTGTAAACATCCTGAAAAAACCATGCTGTCCTCACTAGACCGAAAACCATTGGAAGCCAGTAGTGAGGCATTCATTTTCGAATGAAAACTGGCGAGCGTTGCAGTTTCGAGCACAGTGTAGCAACCGTTTGGAGATGGATAGTATGCGGGTTCGCATTTGGAGTAAGCTCATTAGTTCACAGATGCTATCAACTTTCCTTTTGGAGAAGGAAGCGAAACACACTTCACTACAAACTCTCGTAAATGCAAGCTATATTGTTCTATGACAAAATAAGACTAGCACAAAGAATTTATAGCATACAGGCGAATTAAGGTATCAGTGATTTTGAGCGTTCCCGTGTGTCTTTTCGTTTTCCAGTTTATGGATTACACAGGGTAAGACCTACGAGAAATGTGTCAGAATTATTTGCGCTTTTCTATAAAGGATGCGGAAGAAATTCCGTTTTGCCCGAATTACGGCTGAAGATTGTAGGAGAATGTCACCAGCTTTCACCACTTCTGATTCCTCGTAGAGAGTTTTACTTGCTTATTATCTTGATTTGTTACATCTGACATTTTCAGCACCGAGAATCTGTGTTTGGGTATGTAAGCGAATGTGGCCGCATAAGGGTAGCAGGATCGACTTTTTTCGACCCCCTAGTTGCAACACCCTATGCATCGACGTGACTGGTCTGGTCGGTAACTATCGCAAACTGTGACCGCACCTAATTTAGGAATGGCTGAGCGTTGATCGATCAGGATCTTGAACGTTAGACTCAACGCAGCTGAAGAGTAGATCGGGCGGTGAGGTCGCATTGATTACGGCGCTTTTATTGGAGCGAGAATGGCAGATTTGCCATACACATAGGGTACAAGCCTCTCCAAGGCATTATCATGTGCAGGAAAGAACCGTTCCTGTTAGAGAACCCAAACATTCATATCGTTCAGCTTTAGCAACCTTTCGGTGCCTAACTGCTATGCCACCAAAAGATTGCACGAGGGCTGGGATACAGCCAAGCCTAGACAGGAGAAGTCGAGAGGCAGAGGTCGGGTTCGAACCACGGACCTTCCAGTCGGTAAATTCGCGCTCTAACCACTCGGACCATCTCGCCATTCATATATTCGTCCCATATTCCTCCTCCAGTAAGCTAACGCGACCAAAGCCAAGTCATGGTCAGTCCTGGGCTCTTCTGAAACTGGTTTTGCGGAAATGGCTCTGGAATGTAGACGGTGTTCCAAAACCAGACCACACCGTTTGTGGAATATTGACCGCTCAGCTACCTCAAGTTCTTTCCCAAAAATTCATTCAAAACTAACGACCCGATGATTCGAAGAACGCCCACAAAAATTGACATTTTTTCCTGATCGCAAAAGTCAGAATCCTAAAATGGATATCACTGACCATAACTATGACAAGAGCACATACCATATAAACGCTATCGTACATGTCGCCCAAAGCTCAGTTAGATAACCTCAGTTTGGTGCACATCTCGTTACGTCCTGACGCTTTACCACCAGGGATCGGAATGCTGCTGCAGTGTAGAGTTACACAGTTAATATGTGACAAAAAACTCATCAGGGTGGGCTGCTGGACGTTCGAAATTTCGTTTCGAGCAGATCGAAGGTAGTTGGCAGCAGCGCAGGTTGGTGGCACTGTGGGAGGCAACAGCAACTATTAATGCGAAAAACTGCTATGCATAGTAGTCAAATAAGATAAATGCTAAAACCGAAGTACGGGGAAGCATCTGTCTACTGCGTAACGTGGTACCACTGACCAAACCCACCTGTCGTAGGAAGTTTCTGTAATCTTGGCCATTATGATGCACTACGGTGGAATACATCTGCTGATGGCGATCCATTGGACACTGCCTTAAAGAAGGGAAAATTCGCTCAAGGATGACAGGGATAAGCAATCCGAAATAAATGGGAAACGAGTGAAGCTCAGCGCTGGAAAAGAGGATTGAATTTGTCTGATTGTATCGAATTCAAGTAGAGCCAGATTGAAAACCTCAATAACCCGTAAGATCTCTATTCCCAAGGGGAATCGATTTGTCAGACAGAGTATATAAACGGGATTAAAAATTAAAAGCACGGGGATCCAGACACACATATGCGGTTCAGACAATCGCAATTCCCGCGGCTTGTTTGTTGCAGAAAAGTAAAAAATCCGACTAGGAGAAACCTTGCATTTATGATATCTGCACATCAACTGGTTCGACAGGACGGTTCAAACTTCGAGTGCGTCCTGCGATTACGCTGTGGCCACACAAAACAAAATTAGCAGTGGGTTGTCGGTGAAATTCAACAAGTGAATAAGACTATCTGTTTACGGCGTTTAGAAGCACCAAGAACTATGGGGGATGATGTTACAGCTTTAATTCGTGGCCGACCAGAAAATGCTGCGGTTACCATAGCTTCAGCGGGACACAGATTATCTAAGAGTATGTACAATTAAAAGATCACGCTAGCTGGATGTCCCGAGGGACTTCGAGGAGCGGTTTATTCAAATGACCGAATAGAACGCTATATTTGATAGCTACGATCGAACCTCTTAGAGGTGTTTGATGTGCATTAACCGGTTGCAAATCAATGCTAAGGTTTCTATGATTACTTTCCGTATGAAGCACTACCGTCAGCAACATACCATCTATCCTGATCTACTCTGGCATTTCTCTTGTTCGGGTTTTTCCTATGAAGAGCATCAACTACGTATGCTTCAAATTTCGTCCACGGTGACCTATACTTGTTGGAAAACTAATGGCATCATTCAGAGAAACTGGACTTGCGGTTCACTCATAATGGACGCGCTTTCGAAAATCTATTCAAATAAGGTCAAAAACATCTTGTCCCGTGCGCACCACCCCAAATGCAAACTACCGGTAAGTGGACCCACTTTTTCCGCTCATACTGAGTCAGTATAGTTTAGTGCCAGATACTAAAAGTGAGAAATAGGTATTTTGTGTGCACATTGTTATTAAGAGTTACCATACATGCACATTCTGACGGTATTATTGTTACAATTGCCAGGTGTCAGAGGGTACACGTAGCATTTTAGCAAATAAAATGAATGGGCCGTGCGTCAACTTCCAGCCAAATCTAACAGACCAAAAACCCTGGCTCTATCAGCTTGGTTACAAGACTAACCGAAAAACACAGCAGCTGTACTGCGAGCCAGTGATAGTGAATGAACAGGAGGCGCACTGATCATTAAAGTGCATTTCCGACCTTGGATAAAATAATGTACAGCCGACGTTAAGTGATTAGTTGGCATCATTCCTAGGGTAGGTCTAAATACTCGAGCGCCGTTGGTCGGCGCTGGCTAGTTGTCAGGGCGTCCAATCAGCGGCCGGCTTTTCTGGCTCGGAGATCCAAAGGCGATCGAAGCAGAGTTGGCAGTTCCCCGTAAGCCCCGGACATTCCAAGTATCTTAGCTTCCTGATAGTACCCTTGTGGTGTTTCCTTCAATTAAACGATCCGTCCAGTCCAATCCCATGGAAGTTGGTGCGAAAATGACTCTATTTCAGGAACTATCATCAAATAAGGACTGCGTGCCGCGAACAAAGATCAACTATCGAGTGGAAACTGGTATTGTTACGTCATTTACTCTCTTGCGCATGACTGATTGGTGAACAAATCTGATTCAGAAGCCTGACAGTCTTAACATACTAGTGCCACCCGGATCAGGTCGTTATCTGCATGGTGTTTTCTGAGCCTTTCGGTTGAATTGGACAGCCTGCTAGGGTTCCTATTTAGTCAATGCAAAGCAATAGATGGGATTCACAACGGAAAGTGACAACCACTCTAATTCAACAGTCCGGAGGACTGGTTGTAAATATTATTCATCCTCCTAGTTACTTCTGTTGCCTCAAAAGCTCTCTCTGCGTGCTTTGTCTCCATAAATAGCTACATTGAGAGAGCTACATCACCGACTAGTTCCAAGGGAACCATGTCGTACAGGATTCTCCAATTTCCTATGCTGCATTCATGTGTTCCACGTTTCAGGTCAGTATGTGGAGAAAATTTTATAAGATAGGAATGAAAAGCATTCCTGTTAAGTATGGTTTTGACGCAGCACGAAAGCAATAAATGTGGCCCTCATAGGTGCATTCCGATTGAACAACCGTTTCCGTTTTGTATAAACACCGAATCCTCTTTATGGAGGAGTGCTCAAGAGAGAGAAGGATTTCCTTCACTTTTGATCCTCCACAGTTGAATATCTTTTAAAGGAAACGTTCTGTAGGGTAGGGATTCCGACCAAAAGGCATTTAGTGCTTACTGTGAAATATTCTGGTGATCAAAATGGACCATAACAGCGGACCCGTAACAGCGTTGTCCGACTGATCAGAAAACTCTAGAGACAGCAACGGACACCGAATGAGCACGACAAGTGTATTCAGTCCGGTTATTCCGGATCAAACCAACTCAGCACCAATCAACAGTAATTTACATTAAACTGATTTCCCTTGTCGATATCGGATTCCTGTCTCGTTGGAAAAACTGTAGAATAACAAGGAATCCAGATTTTACGTCCTTTGAAGCAACATATGCAGCATTAACCTTTTTCTTTTCAGTTACTTCTGTTTAACCACAAACAGCATTGGCCGAGTAGGGAATAATGAACGCTAACTAGCAGAAAAGACGGGATATAAGGCGGTCGCCGTTCAACGCCACGCGCATGGCGTGACATCAGCAGCCAGTTAGGTACTAGATGTGCGTTTGGAAAGGACCATCAAAAACTGGCTTGCGGACGACGACGGCCCTGAAAAAACCAACAGCAGGGATGGAGCGGACCGGCTCAACCGGAATCTCACTAGCGCAACAGGAGTCATTGCAACCTGCCCGCAAATAATTCGTTTTGGTGAACATACTCAAAAAGGAACTATTGAGACAAGGTCGATAAAATTCAGTGAATGAATAATCAAGTACACTAACATGGATATATTGCCGAATGTTTCAGATTCACCCACGGTATTAAGTGTCATTGAGAGAGAATTCATCATAATTCCTTTAGACTTTATCGAAATGGCAATCACTGTAGTTGTGTGCTGTTTTCCTCCTGTCTACAGGCTCAGGGTCATATAGGAAATGACATTATAATGGATTAATCCATTGAGCTGGCTATGTACCACTCACCAGCTTTCTACCACTTGCAGACTCCAGGGCAGATTTTCAAGCCAAGACTTCAGAGCATCAGTGAAATTCCCATAAGCTTATGCAAATGTGAATTCAACAACCACAATCAGCCACCGCAAAGACCAAATAATCAAACAAAATGAGTTGTTATTATGTACATTCGGTAACCAGACTGGGAAGTAATACACCAGTAAAAGTAAGGGGGTAGATCAGGGATAAAATAAGGATAACAAAGAGACCGTTATCCAAACAAATCCCCAACAGTGGGCAACGGATCAAGGCCAGCAGTCATATCTGGCAATAAATTCAGGTCAGGTAGACTGGACATATGCTTTGACAGTTCTTGCTTCAGCGCTAGGCCGTGCGCACATTTTTCCTTGAGCTCCTGTAATTGGTAATGAAGAGGGAAGATAATATTATACGACAAGCCAACTGATAAAGCTAAGTGAGTAGGGACAAAAGAGCATATCTCTGTTTTCGCCTAGGGTGGACTACTCAAACGGTCGTTGAAAATTCAAGACAGCGCATCACCGGTTTCGCCCAAGGGTTGGAATTGATTAGATGTTCCGAAACGCTCGATGAGACGTTCTTGTTTTTCACCGCTATTCACACGTTCTGAGCAACAGCAGGCTTCACCCCTGTTAACAGTAAGGGAAATATTCAACCGTTTGACACGTTTCTACTACTAGTTGTAGCACCTTTGGTTTCAGTCACACTTCACTACGAAATAGTTTAGTGATCCCCAAAAAGTACTGGAAGCTTTCCGAAGTGGTCAGTAACATAGTTACAGCAAGTTCGCGAGCGTCGTCGAGTGGATAAGACTATAGACGATGATCCAGGTCCGATGGGCACAGCCAAATATGCTGCCGACCCTAATGCTGACATAAGAGGGGAATTTCTTAATATGTAGCACAACTATCGTTGAAAAATTGTTCATTGCCCCAAACTAGTTCTCTGCAAAAAATGTCATATTGTCTATGGTTTGGTCTCGCATAAAAATAGCGACGATGGTAGAGACATGAGTTCATTCAAATCTACTCTCACTGTGAAAATGAAATCGAACCTTCTGCTCTCGCTAGTGCAGGTCAGTGTTTAATATCGTAAACCCACAGTGCTGCGGTTTGACACTAAGTAGGTACATTCCTAACAGGTGTGTTGACCTTCAGGTGCAAACAAGATCTACGCGACCTAGTTAGCACAGACTGGTGAAGTTACAGCGTCTTACAACATCACACGAGTCAAGGGGAAATAAACATGACACTTCAGGTTTATGGGCTCGAAACAGAGTGCAGAAATGGTGCGTTGTACCCTTACTCTTAATTCTGCTTCAAAATCCTTGATGCGGATCTTCAGCTGGGCATGGTAGGCACGCAAGCTTAGACTCAACTTTTGTCGCTGGGACGATTCTTCCTCCAAAAGTTCGTTGTATTTATTCAGCTGGGTGGCACAATTGGCAATACGGCTGATTAACTCGTGCCTTTCGGATTCAGAAGCTAAGAAATGAGAAGTAGTAGATGGCATGAAAATGTAACAACCCCGGCCGAAATCGATTGAAAAACCATCCAAGGAGTTTTTAAGTAGAGTTTACAAGGAGACAAAAATGCGGAGCACAACGCACTACAAATCGGAAACCGACTAAGCAAGAATGAAAAACAACCATCATGGCACAAATCAAATGCAAAGAATACAGATCACAATGCAAAACAGTTCAATTCGTTTTGAGAAATTTATTTTCGTGTGGCTAACCACATTAGCAGCTATCAGATACATAAACCCAAGCAGGTGCGAAGGAAGTACCTAAACAACGGTGCACTGATTTCTCTTCGATCGATGGCGAAACGTTTTCAAGCTAATTCTCAAGCGCAGCGAACAAACCAACAGCCTCCTCACCAATAACCAGCCAGGTTATCCAATGAACAAGTTGTTGATGAATAAGCTGATTAGAGAGAGAACACTCATGGAAGCAACAGAAATCGTAGCCTCGTGCCAGGAATTTTCTGTGAGTGAAATTCAGTATTTCTGACCAAAAGTTTGTTCTCCATTGCTCTATGTTACCGCCACTTGAGAACATCGTCAGCTTTGTTTGCATTATTTAACTCTCCGGAGTGATTCACTGAGACGAACGATATCGTAGTGCTGTGGTTCTGTTCTGGTAGTTCCACTTAGTCTTCGTTATTCGTATCATCCTCGGATTCCTCACTGTATCCTTCAGGCCTAAAATACGCTTAGGTTAACTTGTGGTTGACTGGTTTCTGAAGTGTTGCATCAACTCAGACGTTCAATCGCGACCTACGCGTGCAGTGACAGTTAACCGAACAGAAAATTTAATGGAAAAATGTAGCTCAGTGCTGGGTGCGACCTATCGCCGCGACACAATAAGACTTGGTCAGACACGAACATATTTTTCATTCGATGGCTTTCGCTTGAGTACAGACCTAGGTGATGAACAGTTGAGATTGTAGCTGTAAACTTTGGATGACGAAGAAATTGCAAAATATGCACAAACTGTATTAGCTGATTTTCGACGGACATTTTCCTCTGTTGTGACGCCAGTCGGGACTGAAGGAATAGTTTTTTGTCTGAGGATTTTCCTCAAAAGTAGTCCCCTATAAAGGGACTCAGTTTACATCGAACAGCCAAGTTTCCCGAGGATTATCGGAAAGATTGAGGAGCTAGAAATTAAAAAACACGAGAAAAAAAGTTACTTGAGCAGACGTTCTAAGAAAGTCGTGGTTTTGTCCTGTACCAAACACAGCCAAGTTAGTGAATAAAGACCGCCGAAAAAACTGCTGTCATACCGTTTGTAATTATCTCTACTGCTTTGTTGGCGTCCGATACTTCAGGTGGGAACTGGGCAATCGCTCGCCGGGTCGCGGCATCTCCCGATGCTGTGGGTTGCTGCAACTTTTCTAGCATTTCCAAAAGTTCTGATGTCTGAAATGAGACGAATATATGGAACAAACTCAGAGCAACTGTGGAGTAAGAAGCCAAAACAGGAGTCAAGGCAACACCAGCATTTACTGACCTGCATGCAGCAGAGCCGCGAACAAGGAGAAAGAGGAAACCGTAACCAAATCAAAGAGAAAAAAGGGCAAGTAAACAAATAGACTAAACGGAAGTGAATCCGCCCATTTCTGCCTTTCTTTCTTCAAAAAGATCTACATCTTCAGAATTGCCCTGGTTATACACCAGTGGAACACTTGAGTTCAACAAAGCTGTTGCTGTTCGAAACAAAAATGAATCACCCCGAATATACACATACTTAGCCGACCAGCAGCAACGGTACGGCATAACAGGGGCCTGTGAAGTAAACAGAGAGAACGAAAGCTCCAAACTCTGACAGTCAGCAATGAGTTCCCGCATGGAAATAAGTGTAAATCTATAGGTGTAAAGAAGTAGTTAACCTTACCTGGGGAGGTGTGATAGCTTCCGTTTGTAACTCTCGAGCCAACTCCTCTCGAAAGGCTGATATAGAAGTGCGCGTAGAATCCGCACTCAAACCTGTTGGACTAAAGCTCACAATTGACAATGACTGTGGCGCGAAAGACATAGTGGACTTTGTTCCTTTGTGACGCTTACTATGTGAACCCGGAGTTGGTATTTTGGCGGGAGCAGGGACGGTGTCCCCAAAAGCCGTAAGGACGGTTGTGAACGAGAAGGCGAATGGAGACGCTGCGATGATATTTCGTTTCTAGAAAGCGTGGGACAGAAGGAAAACAAATAAAATGAGCTGTTTCTGTGTACAGATCAGAGCTAAGAAAATCGGTTGGCAATCATGGCATACGGAGTGTCCCGGTAGATGCAACAGTAACCATGGAAAACTTGTAGGATAAGGATTGCAATATACACGGACCGATGCTAATGATTTATTATATAGAGATTATGATATTCTGACCAAAACACCGAAATTAATAAAACCCAGAGCATTTGAGGAAAACCGTGTGTGCTGTGACTAGATGCCGCAGAAAAACCTAAAAACCTACCTAGGTGCAGTTCCACGTAATGACAGAAACTAAACTTATAAGCAAGCCAGTCAATGCAGTCTATTTTTCTTCGAGAAGACGAAAAAAGAAACCTAACAAAGTCAACGTACGCGGTCACAAACTTAGGAAATTGTCCAACCTTGAATAACGAACGAAAGCCACTTCAGTTTACTGCAGACCACTTCAACATGCACATACCAAGAGGTTGAGATAAAACCAAGAAAGCGTCTGTCAAGATAAGGTTTGAGAATAATTCGGTAGTCAGCAGCAATGTTCTGCATACTGTCATGCACGGTGATACCCAGAACCACAAATGCTGGAAGGAATACCCGGGTAGTTTTGCACACCCTGATTAAGAGAACGCAAAGAGGACCTGTTCTTGGGGCTAGGGGTGGTGCTGTGGTGAGCCACCAGAGGCATTTTCGTGTTGACAAATAATAGTTGTTTGGAAAATCAACCTTCACCATCCGTGTATGAAGGTGCCGGAGTATACCGATGTCGTAGAGTCAAGATAACAGCGGAAAACGTCGCGTTCATGCAACAGTATACCTCCATAAGGTAACCTGGATGGGAAATGAATGCAGTGGGACCGAACTGGAGAGAGTATCTTCCAGGTAGATGATTTATGCGACCTACCTCCACCACTCGGAAGTTCGACTTCTGGAGCATACATAAATTAAACAGAAGGGACCGGCATAGTTCTCAGAGTGACTGGGGATGACATAACAGGACAATTGTTATTGGGTTTAGTGAGCACTCGTCTTTGGTGGATACCACCATAACGAGCAAGGAGACAAAGGACGGGTTTCTGGAAAATATATACACAGAAAAGCGTCAATTTAACTCCCCAAAGGTGCGTTTGCACCGGACCTACCACCACCGGTCAACTTCAGGGCCAGGCACATCTCGCGGTACACTCTGTTTCCCATGGTAATTTCCATACGCATGCATCCAAAATACCCAATCCCCATTTTAATAAACCTTGGTAGATAGTTGACGTCTACTTATTTTCTTTTGCTCTTACAGTGCTTCAATTCTGGTGAAGAGGGACTAAGTAGATTTTTCGAAAGTACTCAGTTAAACCGACTTCAGTCAGTCAGAATACCACTACTAAGCTATCGAAGCCTGAAGAGAACCAGTCCACGAAAAGTACAGAATCCAGCCAACAACCGTCGGACCTTAATCCCTGACCCACCTCGCGCTCGTATAAAATACATGTACGAGTATGACTCACAACTTCCTCGTTGGCACCCGGAGTATCTGCTTCGGCCACCGCTCGTTGGCAGATGAAACGGAGCTGACGTAAAAAACTCCTTGAATAGATGTGACGCGAAGCCCACACGATCAACAGGTGAGCAACCGCTGCCCGGACTGAATGCCGTTGAACTCTACGGGGCAGAAACAAATGTGAAAAAACGTTAAGGTATAAAGGTAAAGTTATCACCTCAAGTGAGCAGCGTGCCTTCATGAATAAGAACCGTGGTCTGCACAAAACGTCAATAATCAAACGTTTGCATCCCCAAAAGCATGTGATATGCGAGTAATTTAACTAGTCCAATGATTTACCTTTCTATGAAGATAGAGAAACCTGCTGGGAAAATCCGCAGGTCACCAATAAAGACTTTTAATCTGTCACTGGACTGTCATGCACGGTGATACCCAGAACCACAAATGCTGGAAGGAATACCCGGGTAGTTTTGCACACCCTGATTAAGAGAACGCAAAGAGGACCTGTTCTTGGGGCTAGGGGTGGTGCTGTGGTGAGCCACCAGAGGCATTTTCGTGTTGACAAATAATAGTTGTTTGGAAAATCAACCTTCACCATCCGTGTATGAAGGTGCCGGAGTATACCGATGTCGTAGAGTCAAGATAACAGCGGAAAACGTCGCGTTCATGCAACAGTATACCTCCATAAGGTAACCTGGATGGGAAATGAATGCAGTGGGACCGAACTGGAGAGAGTATCTTCCAGGTAGATGATTTATGCGACCTACCTCCACCACTCGGAAGTTCGACTTCTGGAGCATACATAAATTAAACAGAAGGGACCGGCATAGTTCTCAGAGTGACTGGGGATGACATAACAGGACAATTGTTATTGGGTTTAGTGAGCACTCGTCTTTGGTGGATACCACCATAACGAGCAAGGAGACAAAGGACGGGTTTCTGGAAAATATATACACAGAAAAGCGTCAATTTAACTCCCCAAAGGTGCGTTTGCACCGGACCTACCACCACCGGTCAACTTCAGGGCCAGGCACATCTCGCGGTACACTCTGTTTCCCATGGTAATTTCCATACGCATGCATCCAAAATACCCAATCCCCATTTTAATAAACCTTGGTAGATAGTTGACGTCTACTTATTTTCTTTTGCTCTTACAGTGCTTCAATTCTGGTGAAGAGGGACTAAGTAGATTTTTCGAAAGTACTCAGTTAAACCGACTTCAGTCAGTCAGAATACCACTACTAAGCTATCGAAGCCTGAAGAGAACCAGTCCACGAAAAGTACAGAATCCAGCCAACAACCGTCGGACCTTAATCCCTGACCCACCTCGCGCTCGTATAAAATACATGTACGAGTATGACTCACAACTTCCTCGTTGGCACCCGGAGTATCTGCTTCGGCCACCGCTCGTTGGCAGATGAAACGGAGCTGACGTAAAAAACTCCTTGAATAGATGTGACGCGAAGCCCACACGATCAACAGGTGAGCAACCGCTGCCCGGACTGAATGCCGTTGAACTCTACGGGGCAGAAACAAATGTGAAAAAACGTTAAGGTATAAAGGTAAAGTTATCACCTCAAGTGAGCAGCGTGCCTTCATGAATAAGAACCGTGGTCTGCACAAAACGTCAATAATCAAACGTTTGCATCCCCAAAAGCATGTGATATGCGAGTAATTTAACTAGTCCAATGATTTACCTTTCTATGAAGATAGAGAAACCTGCTGGGAAAATCCGCAGGTCACCAATAAAGACTTTTAATCTGTCACTGGGTAAGAAATTGAGAAGGGAAATAACACTCGATTTGCACGCAGTTGACGTTGCAATCAAGGACCCGTAGATCCAATAGAGTGATTCCTCCAAATAAGCGACCTGAATTCTCTGTTGCCGTTCGTTCCTTGCATACTAGACGAACGGTAATTTCGGGCCGCCGAGAAGTAAACAATTTCACCAATCCAAAGAGTGATTATCTTAAGAAGGAGCCAGTGTATCTGGGAGATGTCGTTCTTAATTATGCTACTCAACAGCAACCAACCCTAAGCACTGACTGGCTCCGACCATCCAGCCAGGATAACATCCTATCCAAAACAAAAGGGGGCATCCAATTATTTCGTAACAACGGTAAACGCAGATCTCCCCGACCGTCACTAGTTCAACAAATCCTCTACAAACATTGAAACTAAAAGTGGCAATAATGTTCACTCGGAAAAAAACATCCAGCTGCAACAAGGTCTAGGGCGCCCAGTTCCCTGAAGCAAATATTTCAGTTGGTGTAGGGGATTTTCACCATTTTGTTCCGTGGGGATAGTTGTTCACCAAAAGTGGTCCTTATTCATAGATGTCCTTGTGGAGGGCCAGATTTTTTCACAAACAGAGCATTAGCCTTCGTCTCGCATTATTTGTCTTTGAAATTCCATTGGTCTATTTTGTAAATACCAGACAATATTGTTCCCAGCACACATCTAAAGAAATATGACCATTCCCCAGAATAACTCCCAGCGATATAGCGCCATATAGCGTTTCAAATGATTCACTACCCTCAGTGATACACTAAGGAAGAGCTGTCGCGAGGTAGTCAGAGCTAGAAAAAGAAAATTCCATACCGGCTGAATTCGAGCATATGTTCTAAACGTGTCCGAGAATCTAACCAGGGTATAACTCAATTGTCCTGCCTTTAGAAGACACTCGTTGTTTGTATTAAGGTTAAATAATCGGTTTGTAGAGCCAGTGGGCTAAACGAACACAACTGACTGTCGTACGAAGTAAAAGTAGTCGAAGCACCAAACTACACGTCATACAACACATTACCTGTGATTTAATGGAGCATGCTAGTCATGCACACTGCCGAGAAATTTATCAAATGGACGTCTTCCTAAATCAGGGTGTTACCCTTGAGAATGATCAGTAGACCGAGCACAACTAACGTTAAAAATGCACAGAAATAACCCACCCAGTTAGAGTGTAATATGTCCCTGCTGTTCGTGAAGAAATAACCGGTCAGAGCAGTGCAAACACTGCAGAAACAACCCAATGTCCATCCACAGTAACTTATGCCAAGTAAAGAATCGATGATACTGTTAGGTCAAGACACAGACAGAGTGATGTGTTAGGTGAGACTTGAAACAGACTCTTAGGACTATCAGCATCTCTGTTATCCAAATCGGACATCGCTATGGCCTGTCATCCCACTTGCTAGGGACAAACAAAAGTTTCACAAAGCCCCGCAAAGTCAAAAATCATTAGTTTAACAAATATGCAAGTGTTACCGACTTTGGGTATGGGAATATATTGCTGACCACTTTTTGTTAATCATCAGGAAATATCACACTGAAAACAGGCTCACTTGGCTGTTTCCTTAAAAGCGGTAGGTAAAACGGGTTCGAAAAGCTTCCCAAACTGAGGGGCAGTTGTAATACCACTCTGAATTACGTCATTGGCCAAGTGGAGAAACGCAATCTTCTTCTTCGGTGGCGCTATCACGATGCTGACATTAGAAACACAAAGATAGTTGCTCACCTTTTCTGAATTCCTTAAACCATAACTTGACAAGTTCTTTTGCCATGTCCTTTGAACTCAAAAACCATTTCGAAGTGGTTTCCACTGACTGCTGTGAATTGTCTAATTGCTGGAGCCGTCTAACGGCTTCCTCTTCGGAATAACTCATTGGACAATTGCAAGGAAATCTATATAAACTGATGCTGGAACAAGAGAATATGAGTGAAATTTAACCAACTGTCACTCAAAATCATACAGAATCCCATGATAGATCCATGGCGTTTACTATAGGTGTTCAAGAAGCGTCGACATGGATTGCACGAGCAACAGCGTCAAAACCAAGAAGATAAACCGTTAAGGCGCCCACTAAGACAAACATACTCTAAGTCTGAATAGACGAACTGAATTTGGTGAGATCACGACATGGGAGGCAATAAGAGAATTTCAGTGGAGTTTAGCCCTGGCGACCAGGAAATCACCGGGAATTCTACAGAGCAGGCCACCTCCACAAACCGTCCCACAATGATTCCAGATAATTGAAGCTGACGTAGTTCAACGGAATCCCAAAAGAATGAGTAAGAATGCACGAAAGTTATCGGGACATAACGGAAAAATTCCCGCCATCCTAAAAAACCATCGGCCAACTTAGATATTTCTATTAGGATAGGCGCAGGCTTATCAAACAACTATCCACATTACAGCATATTCTCGAAAACAACTCTGAATACTGTCAACGCGAAATCCCTCACTTTATTGATTTCAGCAGGCTTCTGCCTCCGTGAAGAGGGAATCGTTAAGGATGATTGTGTTAAATGACAGGGCCAAGAATAAAATTACCAACATGACATATAGAATCCAGATTCCACCAAGGCTCATGTGTCACCACTGCCGAATATAGTAACCAAAGCACAGGCGCTTCCCTTGTATCCAAAATTCTTCAAACTGAACCGGATGTCACAATCCAACGTTTTTTTGTCTTGTATTTTATGGTCTTGATGCAATAGATAGCGATACATACGGGGAGGGAGTTGCACACAATCCTAAGGCTGAAAGTGCTTTATTGGAATGGATCTTAGTAAACAGTTATCTTGGTGTTGGACAGTGACTTGGTTCAGTTACGCTCAATGCAGAGCGATGCGACAAACGGTGTTTGTGTCGTACCAGCGAGCACCCCAAGAGACCGCAAGTCTGAAACTGAGAACCAGGGTGTTTTGCCACGATCTTCTGCGACTGTCTCGGTAAGCAAGAGGAACAAGTGTTGTCATCCTGGATGGTGATATAAATGTCCAACTTGGAAAATCAAGTCAACAAGAAACACACGTGGTAGTTTGGCGGTCGATACTCAACGCCCAAAAAATCTGAAGCTACTTCCGGCGAGTCTTTTTCTCCAGAAAATCGACCGAGTTGCGCAAAATAATGCCAAAGAGCAACTTTAAATGCAACAACTACGAGACTGGTGCCATGACGTTTTTCGCATGACGTTCCTGAGCCCCTTTAGAAAACTGGAATGACAGTCAGGAGCTCCACTGGTGTTATTCTGTTTTCGTTTCAAATATTCTGCCATATAATCGTCAGACTGTTCACCAGAACCTCACCACCTTCTTTGGAAAGTGTGGGGGCCTAGCATGCGGGCCAGGTGCCTTGTCACACTGAAGAATTGATATCTCAGGCTGGGTTCCTGTTGCTGATGTCGGACTGGTATCTGTTCCTATCAGGACTGCTGGGTTCTTCCAGCGCTTGTGTTGAGGAAGACTAGCACGCCTCTTCTTTGAAGTGTTCCATCCATCGCTCAATACGACGATTGACGAAGTGAATTACCATTCCATCTTCTTCCCATATTACTTCGTTGCCGTTTGTCTTCTTTGGACCGGTTGATCGAGTTAGCTGACATAGGACGCAGCTGTTGCCTGCAGTGAAAGCCTTCTCCATCACCTGGGCCCTAGAAATCCACCGGCGTTCTGTCACTCTTCAAGCTCCTGATTATCCGTTGTTTGAGGGATCTGTGCCCGCAATCAGTTTCTAGTTGCTGGCATGGCAGCAATAAGATCTGCTGATGTTAACGATATCAAGTGTTCGTTTGGTCGAGTCAGATAGCTTTGAAAGACAATTCTGAAAGCTGAGAGCACAGCTTCTGTAACTCGCTTCCCCTCAACCTCCGAGCAATCTTCGTCATCCACATAACTGAGTGCTTTCGGTAGCCTTCTAACCATATCAGTCCGAGACTCTTGAGCTGCTGACACTAGTCGAAGCTGATGAATAGAGTTGCTCTGCTTTGGCATGCGTACTGCCGACGGAAAGCGAAGTGGCAGCCTAGTCTACACAAGACAATTCGAAAGCTGAGAGCACAGCTTCTGTAACTCGCTTCCCCTCAACCTCCGAGCAATCTTCGTCATCCACATAACTGAGTGCTTTCGGTAGCCTTCTAACCATATCAGTCCGAGACTCTTGAGCTGCTGACACTAGTCGAAGCTGATGAATAGAGTTGCTCTGCTTTGGCATGCGTACTGCCGACGGAAAGCGAAGTGGCAGCCTAGTCTACACAATTGCTGAGGACATAGTGTCTGATCAGTGTTGTCTTCAGAGCATTGACCGAGTTTGGTGGGAACATCGGACGACTTTCCAAAAATAACTCCACACAACAGGTGAACCGATGACGCTATAAACAGGTCGTGATAGCCTGACCATGTGCCTCGTATACTGAAGATCAATTTCCTCGAAAAAGCTGCACCGTGATGATGGGACGAACCAAGAGTTACACCGCAACCTGGCAGAGAGGCACGGAGGTCGGTACTCGTAAATTACGCTGCGTTGGCAGATGCCGTCACTAAGTGACCTAACTTTGCCGTGAAGGTTCGTGAACCTCAGTAACCCGTCACATACTGCTATATAAGTGGGTATGCGTGTGATATCCGCAGTTTTCATACTGGCTTATGCGTGCGGGCCTGACTAACAATGTCCTGCTCCCCAGGCTGGGGTTGGTACACGGATGATGGTTTATTCTCCAAAACAAATTCCTTGATATCCACCGCAAGTCACCGCTGCGTTGCTACCGCTTTTCGTCCCAAAATCTTTGGTTGAGGGTCCTGTCATGACTATATAACCCATACCTACACGGATGATTATTCTCCAAAACAAATTCCTTGATATCCACCGCAAGTCACCGCTGCGTTGCTACCGCTTTTCGTCCCAAAATCTTTGGTTGGTGGTCCTGTCATGACTATATAACCCATACCTTTGCATACCCCATTAACTCGTGATTCTCACTCTATTTTCAGCTCATGTACTACAGTTATTAGACGATTAAAGCGTACATTACGTCTTCCTATTCTGTCTCCTTTCTAATCCCGTCCTGGAACTACTCGACTCTCGCAACAATTTAATCGTCTAATAAAAACGAAATGGATCATATTCTCCGAGCTACGGTTTTTGATGCTGATCCTCACTCATCAGATGGCATGAAACGATGGACTCATTGGTTCCGTACTTTCAAAGCTTACAATAACTCAATTAAACCCGAAGGTCTAAATAAATTGGAAACTCTCATTCGTCGCATCGACCATACAGTGTATGACTTCATTGCAGAATGCAGCGACTACGATTCTGCGATAACCTTGCTGGAAAAACTTTACATCCGCCCGAAAAATATCGTGTATGCACGCCATCTTTTAGCCACATACAAACAAGAACCTGGTCAAGATGTCGACCAATTCGTTCAAAAACTGAAATCGCTTGCTAAAGACTGTGAATTCAAAGCAGTATCTGCTGTGGAACATACAAACGAAGCAGTTCGGGATGCTCTGATAACCGGATTGCAGTCGAATACCATTCGGGAGAAACTGCTAACGTGGCATGAATTGGACCTTGACAAAGCCCATGAAGCCGCGCGAGCTCTCGAACTTGCACAAAAACAGTCACAATCATACGTATACAGACAACCCGTTACTTGTTCGGTATCTACTCCTTTACCCATTGTTAATTCCGAAACAACAGTTTCGGCCGCTACACAACAAACATGTTACTTTTGTGGCAACCCCAAGCACCCTCGTTATAAGTGTCCCGCTAAAGAATCAGTGTGCAAGAGTTGTGGAAAAATTGGACATTTTCAACGTGTCTGTAGGTCCAAAGCCTCGAAATATCACGCGGGTTCAGCTCAAGACTCCTCAATCTCCTCGCTATTTTGTGCTGCTGCTCCCAATTGCCTATCCAAAACTACAACAGATATTTTGGTCAACGGCGTTGTTGTCCGAGCTCTCATTGATACCGGCAGCTCCAGAAGTTTCGTTTCTTCATCAATCCTGCAAACTCATAACTGGGAGCTATTTCCGTACGACTCTGTGATAACAATGGCGTCGACGATACATTCATGTTCCACCAAAGGTTATTGCCTTGTGTCCATTCAGTACAAGGATGCTATATACGAACGTTTCAGACTTTGTGTATTACCGAACCTTTGTGCAGACGTCCTTCTCGGACATGACTTTCTGGGGTTACATGATAAAGTCGAAATTCCATTCGGTGGTCAACGGGGTACCCTAACTGTATGTGGCGTAACATCCGCAAAACTGGAATCTCCATCCTTATTCACCAATCTTGCTCCAAATTACAAACCGATCGCCACAAAATCTCGTCGTCATACACCGGAAGATGAACAATTCATACAAACGGAAGTAGACCAAATGCTTACCGATGGCATAATCGAACCATCAAATTCTCCGTGGAGAGCACAAGTGCTCGTTACCCGCAATGCAAATCACAAGAGACGCATGGTGATAGACTACAGCCAGACAATCAATCGCTTCACCTACCTTGACGCTTATCCTTTACCAAGGCTCGACCAAATGATTGAAACCATCGCACGCTACACTGTCTACAGCACACTGGATCTCCAGAGTGCATATCATCAGGTTCCAATAATCGAGTCAGACAAGCCATTCACAGCGTTCGAAGCTGGGGGGAACCTATACCAGTTTCGGCGCATTCCTTTTGGAGTGACAAACGGGGTCGCGTGTTTTCAGCGAACGCTGAACAATATAATCAAAGCCGAACAGGTAAAAGACACATTCGCTTATATCGATAACGTCACTATATGCGGCAAAACGAGAGATGAACATGACCGTAATCTTAGGCATTTTCTCGATGTCGCAAAAACATACAATATTACTTTGAACGATACGAAAAGCAGCTTCGCAACTGAAGAGATTACTCTCTTAGGTTACAAGGTCTCCAAAGGTATTATAAGACCTGACCCAGAACG